TACATATAATATTCTATGTGTTCTTTATAAATACATATATGGAATCATATTGTATATTACAATTCTGTGACTGTTTTTATTGCCCTCAACATTATGCTTTTGAAATTCATCCAGGTGATTTTTGTGAGTCTAGCTCATTGCTTACTGTACAGAATTTAATTGTTAATCCTGCCATGCATGAGGCACCGTTACACGCCACAGTATAGGCGATCTTGAAAACAGTATTATTATAAGTGAAAGAAGCTAGACATAAAAAGCTACGTATTGTAGAATTCCATTTATATGAAATATCTAGAGCGGACAAATCTTTAGAGACAGAAAGCAGATTAGTGGTCTCCAGGGTCTGGGTGGGAGGTGGGGAGGGACCACAAAGGGGTACAGTGTTTCTTTTTAAGGTGATTAAAATGTGTGGAATTACATAGTGGTGAGGGTTCCACAACTTTGTGAAAATACTAAAAAAAGCCCCACCGAATTGTGCACTTTGGAAGCGTAGAATTTATGGCATGTGAGTTATATCTCAATAAAATAAATTTTTAAAAAGAACTCGGTAGTATGCACAAACCACAGTTTCTTTGTATTCTTTCCTCAGCTGCTAGATATTTGGGTCGATTCCGGTGGTGGGTTATCAGCAAAATGCTGCAATAAACACCCTTTACCCTGCCTTCACGTTCACATGTGTGATCTCTTGGGTAGATATTTAGAAGTAAAATCTGTTTTCTACGATGTCCACGCCTTTCATCCCATCTGGAGATGCAAACTGATAACTAAGGTGGTTTCACTTATTATATTTCTACCAAGATGTATACATTTCCAAGTCCTCCACATCCTTGCCAATTCATAAATGTTTAATTTTATCATTTTTGCTGATTAAAATATGTGAACTCATAATCCATTGTAAGCTGCCTATGAAAAGAGATCTCACCGTTGCTTTAATTTGCATTTTCCTGATTATGGGTCAGGTTTATTGACCATTCAGGGTTCTTCTTCTATGAATTGATGGTTTCTCTCTGTTGTTCCTTTTTCTGTCGAATTGCTGGTCTTTTCCTTAGTAATTTGAAGGATGTGTTTACACAGTAGGCACATCTTTCCTGTGTAAGCTGTCTGTTGCGAATATCTTGTATTTTCATTTCTTTTATACATTTTAATGTGGGCTACTCAGAGTAATTAACCTTTTAGTTTATATTTGGAAGCCGTTCTTTGTGTCATGACTATCTTTATACAAGAAATATAGTCTCCTATACATTCTTCTAAATTTTAAATTTAAAAAATTTTGTTTTTCATATTTAATCCATCTGAAATTAATTCTTGTCTAAGGTGTGAGGTACAGATCTAACTTTTCCATTTGGAACATCAATTGTCCCAGTGCCTTTTATTGAAAGGCCTGTGCTTTTTCATTCAAATTGTGTCTTCAAGTTAATGAAATATTGTCATTTCGATTTCATCTATACCACCTTCCATTATTAGATTAGTTCGGACATTTGAATGGAAATGACAAAAGGAAAAAAATCTAACTTAAAAAGAATTTAATAATGTAACGAAACTAAAGAAAAGACTGAGTTAAAGATAGCCTCAGACAACTGCCTCCATGTACTCAAATGTTCTTTAGACTTTCCTTCTCTATTTCTATTTCTGCGCTATCATTATTATTTAAAGCAGCTGTGCCTATGAGCCTGGGGATGATGGTGACAATTCCAGGCTTATAACCTTGCAGACTTTTAGCCAAAAAGGCAAGGGGGCCTTTTTACTTGCTGGATCAATTTGGAAAAAGATAATATCAGCTACCTTTGGAAGGTGCTAGAAAGCCAACTCACAAAAGTTTTAAATACAGAACAAAAAAATCTAGCATTTACTCTGCCCTTCATTTATAACCTGCACCCCAGGACAACCAAATAGTTAAGGAGGCAAAGTATCTACTCATACAATTACTACAACTAATACACAAAGAAGAAAACTTCCAGTCTTACCTTTGGCTAAAGCATGCCCACCTTATCAGGAGTAATAACAGAGGAGGTGGTTTAATGTCTTTCCACCCAGAAAACTGTTAATGCATGATAGATAAAATGCCCAGAGAAAAAGCAGAAGGGAAATCTGATGGTTAGAATCAAAAGGGAATAGTTTTTCAAAGTCTCACCAATAACAGTGGCAGAGGTTCCTGCTTATGCCTAGACCAGAGGTCGGCAAACTTTTCCTGAAAAGGAGCAGAGAATAATATTTTCAGCATCTGTCGGCCATAGGATCTCTGTTGAGACTATTCAACTCTACTGTGGCAGCTGCGGACAAGTAGGTGCAGCTGTGTTATAATAAAACTTTATTTACAAACACAAGTGATGGTCCACAGTTGGCCCACCCCTGTCTTGGAACAGTGTGTTTTGAAATCTGATCAGACAGCTAGAATAAGAGTTGAATGAAACCAGGCAATATGTGTGTAGGTTGCAAGGGAAGGCTCTTTTTGCCCCTTACTCAATTTCTAGATCTGTAAAAGTGGGAAACAAGCAGGACTGATTTCTGGGGTCCTTTCCATCAACATCTTTGTCTTTGACTTGCCAAGCTTCCAGGGCCATCCTTCCAATTGTGGGTGTGGTTTTGCTAAGGGGAGTGGGCAACAATGTCCCTTTGGAAAGAGACCCAGTTGGTTCTGCAGCTTGAATGGGGCCTGTTTGGTATGAAGCTTAGCACCTCGTGGCTTTGCTTTTGCAGTGTTTCATCAAAAATTCAGGACTCTGGGTTGAGAAGGGGGAAATAGGGTCATTCGCACAGAGGCCTCTTGAGTCTGGGGCCCCTGCCAAGTCCTCATTCTCCCACCTCCTTTATTTCTATTTTCATGCCCCTCCAAGCCAGGAGAGAGGCATGGAACAGAAGAAACCAATCCTACCAACACCTTGATCTCAGAATTCCAGCCTCCGGAACTGTGAGAAAGTAAAATTCTGCTGTTTAAGCCTCCCAGCCTGTGGTAGTTTGTTTTAGTGGCTGGAAAAGATTAATCCAGGGAAGCAGGGAGGGAACAGGAGGCAAGGCCTGTATAAACCCAGCTCCAAGCCCTGGCATATGCTTCATTGTCTCATTGGAATTCATTAGCAAAACGCAGATGCAAAGATAAAAGAACTTCAAGATGGCGACCGCTGGGCATTAAGCTCCGAACACAGGGTCCTCTTCTGAATACCAGGTCCCGGTTGCACTGGGTACACCCATGAAGCTGGCAGTGTTGGTATCTCACTTCAACCAGAAGTTCCAGCAAGGGCACATCTGAGAGAGCATTGACTTGTCCCCTCTCCTCACCAGCCTCAGGATAATAAGGTCACACAGAGTAGTAGCAAGGTGTGTGGTGGGTGGAGTATTTCTCTGTTCTGCTTGCCACAGAAGTCATTCTCTCTAAAACTTGGGCTCCCTTGGCTCCCATCTGTCTGTCTCGCCCCGTGGAGGAAGCTGGTCTTTCTTGAGAAACACGAAAATGACTCAGAGAGCACCCAGGACAGGAGATGGAGCGACAGTGCCTTCAGCTTTTGCTGTCTTAGTTCTAATTGCTTCCAAAACTCAGCCTCCCTTCCCTCCTTGCGGCTCTCTTGCTTGATCATTCTTGGAACCCTGTGTGCCCAAAACGAGAGAAAACAAAACACAAAAACGTCCTTTGAGTCTAAGCTAGTCTGAGAAGGGATTCTGTTTTGACCAGAGTCTTGACAAGTGTTATTAAAATTGATGACTCTAACATAAATTATTAATGGACATCCGTTCTAGTATCCATCCTCCTTAAATCACTATAGTAAATCTTCAATTTCAATGAAGGGATTCCTG